AGGGGGGGGGGGGGGGGAGTTAATTCAAAGCAGGGCGTTTATTTGAATAAATACAGTATATAAATTGTCTACCTACCAAGAATTAGAAGGCTACTAAAAGTGTTAAGTCCAGACTGACAACATGTGCTGCTCCCTGTAATGGTTTCACTATTCCCGCCAGGATTCTGAACTATCATTGTCGCTGAATTTCCAAATCTAAGAAAGAAATCAGAAAATACCATGCATGAATGATCAATAGCTATATAGACACTAAACATAATAAATAAACATACTTGTACTAAGGTAAAATATTGTAGTGTAGCTATAGCTTAGTCATGCCCACCTATAACTCACAGTTCTAGGTTCAATTCCTTTTATGAACTAGAATTTCATTCTCATAAATGGGCAACAATGGCTGTCTATTGAACAAGTAACCAACTTCTATTGCAGTAATGTTATATTACATTATGTATAGTAATATATAATAATAATAATAATACATGTCTCCCTCTAATTAAGAAAACCCTTTAATTAAAGACCAACTCCAATTAAAGACCACTTTTCTGTGGTCCCATATTAATAAATGTCTTTACTATTCCAATTTCAGACCAAAGCTGCTAAAAACCATCGAAAACCCCAGCCCCAAAAATAGTCTTTAATTGGAGGGAGACAGGTATAATAATATCTGAATATATGCATTTTAATCTTCTCATTATTATGTTTATTTTTCATAGAATTTTTTTCATTCTATTTATCAATATATTATTTTTTTTTTTTTTTTTTTATAATGTGTTTTAGTATAAAAGTATAGTTAAAATTCATATCTGGACATTCAGTCAGTGGTTTTCATCCTTATGTTTTTCTTTTGTATCTTGGTTTTCTTTAAAAAAGATGATTTAATGCAATAAAGTTTTTAAAAATATAGTAATAAAAAAAACTATATTTAAATAATTTATAAACTCCTAATGATCAAGATACTTCAGTTTATCTCTATCATCAAACTTCAACAAAATTATCATAATTCAATTTTATGAATTGAAACTTTCTTACCTTTGTACATAAACATTATACCAGCCATCATTCACAACTGAGAAGCCAGACGTCAGCTGACCAATGCCCGATCCCAGGTTAAATCGGAACTCAATCTTGCTGGATTTTAGACCGAGGGCTATAAAGTCGTCTTCAATATTTGCACCGTTCCACAGTATCAAGCTATCAGTGCTGGCGTCACTTGCTTTGAAGACGATAGCAAACGTATTGCTACTAAAATCGCTGTAAACAAATTCAAATTCAGAATATTTTATGGTCATAAAGCACAAAAAAAATTTAGTATGACATTCTTTGATTTTTTTTTTTGTAAACAAACATATGACGGTCAGAGCAATCTCACCGAAACGTTGAGAAATTGAATCAGTGGATTTACCTCAAAAAATTATATTATTATACATGGTGTACCGGAAGTTTTATGATTTCGTTACAAAACATACGTAAACAATTTTGTCAGTGATAAATAAAATCTGCATCAATATTTTTATATAACTTGACAACGTAAATCACTGGAAATGGCAGTACTAACTTTCACCTGTAGAAAAGCACCGTGTGCTCGAAAAGTTGTGTCAAGTCATATTAAACTTGTCTTTAAAGTTTAAGTGTTATATTTATTATCACCTGACTAGCTAGCGCAGCTCATCTACTTTTATCATTTATAAAATATTTAAGTTCACTAAATTCAAAGTCAAACACTAAGGATTCAAACTATTTCCAACACAACATTAGATATACAGGCCCCTGAATTCGCAACAACTTACCGATCTCAATTACAATGCCGTGTCTGTCAGAGCTTTTTTAAATAAACTTAATAATAAACACATAATTTGAAATTACTAATATTGCACTATTTTTTTGGTCGTAATTCATCATGCTGTTATCAATTGAGCTGCTTTCTCTCCCTCCATCTTTTTTTTTTTTTTTGTCATTTGTCACCTTTCTTTTTTTTTTTCAGGCCCTTCACAAAATGTTTTTTGCAAACTTTTTCTCGGGACCTGGCCTTCTTCCAAATTTTTCGTATTGTTTTGGTAAATTTCTGAAGATGACTATACAAACCTTGCAATAATCTCTCGTCCATATTGAAGGTAACTACGACCACTAAATTCAGCTAACGTGAAAGTTAAACCTGGAAAAACAAAGTTCTAAATTTAAGACAAAAGAAAGAGGCATGTTATATCAAGACACAAGCCTTTATTCTTATAACACAAATTTTTGAGAATTAGCCAGCTCATCATCAGGGACAATTGTTTTTTTGTAAATTACCGTAAATCCTTGAATAATCACCACTGCGCGATTATAAAATTTGATGCGCCGCTTATTCGAGAGTGGTGCTTATAAAAAAAAATTGGCGTGCTGCTTTCTATGCCTATTCCTATGTTGCCTATTTCACATGTTTCCGTAATTCGGTAGGCCTATTAAAGGTCCTATCATCGTAAATAAACATTTACAGAGAAATGCTTCCGTCTTCATTGTGTTAAGAAAGTATAATACATACTCCAAGTATTGAAATGCACGCCATCGTGTTGGGATTCAATATTTCAACATTAATTATGTCTTTAATGACATACTTGGAGTATGTATTATACTTTCTTATCTGAGATTAATCAGTGGACCTTTCAGTTTCATCTTAACACAGTATGCATTGTATTTAAAACCCTGTTTCTCAAAGTGTTTTCATTACACACAGGTTAATATATACTCTCAATTAAGCGCCATGGCGCTTATTCAAGAGGGATGCTAACGAAAGAAAATTATGTTTGGTGCGCGGCGCTTATTCAAGAGCGGCGTTTATAGGAGCATTTCTGTTATACAAAATTCAGTGACTGTATCAAGAAAAAGCAATTTTCTGGGCTGGGGGGGGGGTGGGTGTCTGGCTTAACTAAGACAGCATAGCAATAACATAAAATTAACAAAATGTTATTTATTTTCCTTCTTAAATTCTTGTATTAAACAATTTTTGGAAATAACAAGTAATCTGATGTTCATTTTTATTGCTTTGGTTATTATTATGTTTGGGAGCTTACTTTCAGTACAAAGGTCTCCAGTGTAGTTAATGGTACATAAGCACATAGTCTGGCCATTCGCATTTATATAACAACTTCCTCCATTTTGGCACTGTTGGCTACTTGCCAAAGTGTCACACGCAGTTTGATCGCAGAAGGTACCTACAAAAAAAAATTATTAAGAATAATAATAAAAATAACAACAGTAATTATAATAACATACCAATAGTTAATGATTATGATATACTCTAATAATATTTACCAAGGTAGCCTGGAGGACACATGCAGGTATAGCCTGAGGCTGATGAAACGTCCACACAAGTGGCACCATTCTGGCATGGATTTTGCAAATTGCAGACACTATCCAAACACTCGGAAATAGACAACCCCTCATTGGGACTGCTTAGATCAAGCACTTGAGTGTTGATTTGAACTTGACGAATACACCCAACAAAACCTACAAAAATTGAAGCAAGAATTCTATTTAATACAATTTATTATTAAATTAAATATTTTATTAATACGTTCTTCCAAAAAAAAAAAATTGGGAAGAACTGCAATGAATGAATTCTGTAGATATTGTTGCTAAGGTCCCACTAAAACAACGTTCTTATTGGTCAGTTGTTAAAATGCTCCTTGTGGCAGTTTTTAAGAACACTCTGTACATACTAGGATACTTGCAGATGGTTGTATGATAAAATTAAACGAAGAATAGATAAAATTCAAATAATGATCATACCAGAACTGAATTGAATATTTGCTGGTAAGCTAATTGTGGATGGTACACCGCCTATATATGTCATCACGCCGGTATCTAGGCCGACACTGGATCCCTGGGATACGCCAGTCACTGCAGCTGCACCATTCAGCTGTAAGGTGCCGTCTTGGATGCTCCTGATAGCACGCACAGTGTTCCACTGGCTTACATTTACCTCAGATGAGCTGGTGATAACAGCACTGCCTAGAAAAAAAGAAGAATTGAAATGAAAATTGTGATCAGTCATCTTCACGCCTTTTACAATAAGTTTATGTACCAAAATAAAAAAACACAAACTGATATCGGAATATATTTAAAGACAGGCTTAGAAACAGTCACTAATGGAAGGCTGATGCAATTATGTGATGGAGACCCTAATGCCGAGGGTGTGTGTGATTCATTCAGACTGCCAACAAACAATCAGCAGCATTTCATCTTTCCTGCGTAACAAAAAACATTGTATACTAAAACCAAAAGGTCCACTGATTAATCTCAGATAAGACAGTATAATACATACTCAAAGTATTGAAATACACGCCATCGTGTCGGGATTTAATATTATTTCAACATTAATTATGTCATCATCAGATACTAAATACTGTATATTTACCTGAGCCTAGGTTGTATGTAAACTGTACTCTACCATTGACTAAACCTAAGCCAATGTAATCATTATTTTCACTATTCCATAGTAGCAGCCCATTCCTCTCTTCCGGCTTGAACTCCAGCATTATGTCGGTGTTGGAGGATGTTACCAAAACGAAGGAGAAGGAGATGTATGACAAGGCTCCAAAGGATGGAATGGTAACATTGGTTGCTGAAAAATTAGATAAAATCGAAAAACAATTGATAATTAGTGCATCAAAGAAATATTAATGCAAAATATAACATTAATTATTAACAATATCAATAATAATAATAAATTATTATTATTATTCTATGTAAATCTTGTGTTAGATCTTTAATGTGTCATATTAAGGGTTTATACCATTAAATTTTTATTAATAAATCAATAAGGTCCTGATATTTTTTTCTAATAATAAATAAATATTACTATTCATAAGTGACTATTTTTTTTTTTCATATATTAGAATTTTATTATTATTATTATTATTATTATTATTATTATTATTATTATTATTAGTATTATTATTATTTTTCTATGTAAATCTTGTGTTAGGTCTTTAATGTGTCATATTAATAAGGTCCTGATATTTTTCTAATAATAAATAAATATTACTATTCATAAGTTATTATTTTTTTTTCATATATGGAAAATTTTTTATTAGAATTTTATGTTGGTTATTTAATCTACAAAATGTGACCTACCTGTGGTGCATGTTAGTCCAGTCCATCCTGAGGTACATATGCATTCAAACTGCTGGTCACTGATAATACGGCATATTCCATTATTCTGGCAGGTAGAAGTTGTACAGGGTGAAATTGAGCAATAACCAACATCCCGACCATTTATTGCTGAACCTCTTCATATTAAATATTGTGTACATTGAGGGGTGGGGAAGAGGTTGGAGAAGGGGGTGGAGAAGGGGGTGGGGAGAGGCGGAGAACAAAATATAAAAACAAACCTGTAAGTCTTGCATACATCCACTAAACCCAGTAACAAAACCACCATCTGGGTGGAGGATTGCAAAATCTGCGAGACCACCTATATATAGATTACTATTGGCTGTTAGGCTAATTGCCGTTCCTCCCGCCTGGCCGGTATACCTCAGGTTATCTACGTACAAGTCTGCAGTGCGCTCCACTCGGGTGACGGTAACTTGGTGCCAGCTGTTTAAGCTGATCGTAGCACTGCTAACAATTGCTGTTACACCCCCTGGTAAATATAGAAGAGAAAATTAATTGTCAACTGTCCAGAGAGTGCATCTAGTAATATAAAGTGGACGACAACAAGGAGACCACAGACAAATAATGCACCGACTATTGGGTAAAACATTGTGGAATATTCCCCGGGTAAAACCCGGGGAGTATGTGTTTACTAGGTGCTTGATCCTATGACTGTCATAATCATGTGCTACAGTATATAAAAGCATTGTCCAGACTACCTAAACATGTGACATACCTAAATATGGTCATGATGACATCACATCATGACTATATATAGGCATATCATGACTGTATATGGGCATACATCAGTTTTTATTTTCAAAGAACATTTAATAGTCTGGAGAGATATTCAGAAACATATTAACAACCAATCTTTAAAACCAGAAGTTTTATGGTCATAAGTATAAACGTGACTTCAGAAGATGTTAATTGAATGCGAGATTTTTTGTTTCGGAAATATGCAGATTTTGTTTATATAATAAAATGTAGGTTTATATACGTGGCAAAGACAAGCCAAACCAGTCACTCATCGCAAAAATACAATGGTAAAAGTAAAATGAGAGCTATAAAATGGTAAAAGAATCATTGAAATCTGTTGTTTCATTATGAAGTTACAAGCGTTTAAACATACAGCTGTTTAAAGAACAATATCTGAGAAATCGGCTTTCAAAGTTTATGATTTCGGGCATTTCTCAGGCAGAAACCATCACCAAATTGTTAAAAATTGTTGTTTTAACATTGAAAATGGGGAAAATAATAGCATAGCATGATATTTAGATATATAAAGTTTAGTTT